CCCTTAAGTAATAAGAGTGATTATAGTTCTTTATAAAGTTAGTAATGTTTCGCCTTTATACCTTAGTAAATATTATAACTTTTAATCCACTCCTCGACATTTAAGTTAATATATTTCCATGTATATTTTCGCTTTATTAACTCTTTTATCTTCGTTATATTAAAGTGCTTTACTAGCGGGTTATTATAATATAAGGTTAAAAGTTTATCTTAAAGCCCTTTTAACTCGGGGATATATATAACTCCTTTAAAGTAAACGATGCCGTTAATATTTATAGTTTAAACTTAGTCTTCGGGGCCTTTTTTCTTTCTTATTATAATATCTCGCCGGCGCTTTACTTTTAAGTCGTCGGCTTATGCTTTTAAAATTATATTAAAGAACTTAGTAAAAGTTTCGCTCTAAAATATACTCTTACCGTTTAACGCTTCGTGCGCGTTGTTATACCGAATGGCTCCCGTAATATTAATAACTTTTTAAATCTTAAGTATTCGGCGAAACCATTCCCCTTATACTCCTTATATTATAGCCATCTTGGCTTATATTATTAATAAGTATTATATCCGTTACGATTTTTCGCTAGCGTAATTAAGCCGTCTCGACGGCGTATCGGTAGGGTTACTTTTCTTATTATAATACTTAATTTAAAAGTCGAACGGGGCTAAGAACATACATTATTTAACTTATTTATTATTTAACTTCGTTTATTTTATAAACTATTATAAGTTCTTATAATCGGATAAAACCTTAATTGTTTAGTTATTACCTTATAAGTAATAACGTTAATACTTAAATAATTTTAAGATGGTTATTATCTCTTTATTATAAGTGCTGTAATTTAGCTTAGCTCCTTTAAGCTTATAAGATTAAAACGTTATAAGGTGGAATAATCCGTTTTCCTTTAATTATAAGATAACCCTTAAAAGGGCGAAGTTAAATGTATCGGTTTTTAACCGGATAAATAACCTAAGGTTAAAGTGTCGTAATAAAAGAGCTTACGTAAAGGCGCTACGAAGATTATAAAACGCTTATACTTCTTTATTATTTAACTTTACGCTCTTTAGCTTTCGGCCATTTTATATACCTTTAAACAAGTTATTTAATGGCTTAGCGATTCTCGAATAGCCTTTAATAAACCTTTTATAAAAGTTATAAAATCTTAGAAATACTTAAATATTATAATAACTTTAAAGTTAAGGTTATATTAAAATGGTTTTAATATAATTAAGATTTATTAAAATTCCTTCTTTAAATATAATAAACTTAAGGAATTCTACTTAATCTTAGTAAAAGATATACTTTAAAGGTTTCGCGTAAAGTTAAGCGTTATATAACCGTTTTAATACTTGTTTTAAGTATTATATATAAGATTCTTAATCCTTAGAAAAGATTAAGATATTATTTAAATACGCGATGTAAAAGTTATTAAAGAGGCCTTATAATGCCTTATAAATGTAATTTTAAAAAGTCGTAAGTGTATTAATAAGACTAAATAGTATAACGACGTACTCGTAATAATTATATCGTAATTAAAACGCGGTCTTTTATTTATCTCCTTCTTTAATTCTTACTCAGTAATAAGTATTTTTAACGTCGATTTTAGAAAAGTATTAAGCCTTAAAAACACGGTTAAGGATCTCCGCGATTAGTGGTAACGCGTACCGATTCTTAATTAATACCTTGTTTAAGCCGCGGTAATTTATATATAAACGTAAACTTCCGTCTTTCTTTAATACGAAGAGGATAAGTGCCTTAACAAGGCTTTTCGAAAGTTATATACGACTTAATCGTATATTCTTTACTATATACTCGTAAAGCGTTTATAATTCGTTTTATATAAGCGGGTAGATTAGATTATACGGCGGAGTAACGTTTAAAACTAAATCGATAACGTAGTTTATATCCCTTAACGGTGGTAAAGCGTCCGTTTTAATCGAATTAAACATATTTATAAATAAACCGAGCTTAAAGGGGATAATTAGCGGGTCTCTCCTTACTCGTTAGGATTTTAGTAATATAATAATAACGAATACTTATGCCTCGTTCTTTAGTTCGGTCGCGAACTCTTCCGGCTCTTAGACTTTATTATTTATAAGGGAGAATCCGTAAAACCACTGATTCGCCCCCGAGTTAAGTACGATCCGTAAGTCTTTTAAGGTCGATTAGGATAATAGGATTAGGCTTCCTTTTAAACGAAGGTCTTAATTAATAGTTACGTACTAACGAGTAAAGGTACGGGTCGTTCCCCGAGCGTTAATAGCTTATAAAGGGACCTTGTAAACCCTATAAGTAAGACATCTTATATCTTTAATAACGTATAATTATAATATTATAATGTCGAGACGGCGTAACTTCCATTCCTTAATAAAGGCATAGCTAATATAATCGACCTTTATATACGAGTTTAAATTTACGTAAGTATCGACTTTAGCGCTTACCTTTACACGTACTAGTGTATAAAAACGGGTAACTACCCTTAAGTACGGGGAAGGCCTTAACGAGTAAGGGGTATTACTAAGGCTTAGGCTTTTCCCCGGTGACCCTTAGTAAATAAAGAGCCACGGTTATAATAAGAGCTCGTTATCTCTTCGACTTTTAGTCGGTCGTACTTGTTCGAGAAGTGCCGGTCGCTATTATAATTATAACAAGTTAATTATTTATTATCCTTATTAATAAAGTTCTTATAAGCATTAATAACAGGCTATGGCTAGCTATTTAATTATTATAAGTAATAACTATCTTAAGTTTTACTTCGGGATCGGCCGCCTTTTCGTCCGCGAGTCGGCCGCGAATCATTACTCGCGCGTTAACGCTTTTTTAAGTTATACTCTTCGAAATTATCATTTCGCCTTCGTTTACCCGGTAGTTTAGACTAGGCGTCTTAGTTACTTTGTGCCTACGATATTATCTTGCTTCGATAAAAGGGCTTGTCTTTTATATAAACATTTAAGTAAAGCTTAAATTTAGGGATAAGCTTCGCCTAAAAGGCCCGGGCTTACTCCTCGTCGACTTTTCGGGGTAGTTACGATTTTAAGTTATTTAAATAAATGTCGAAATCCTTAAATAACTAACGTTCTAATTACTTTGCCTTTTTTAAAGTATCCGTAACCTTATATACTTTATTTTCGGCGTTCCGGAATAAAGTAAGGGTTTAGTCTTTAAACGCGATATAATTAGTATAAATAGCGTCTTATAATTCGACTTTAAGGTGCTTATCGACGTATCGTTTTTAAAGCGACCTCGACTCGTTATCCATTTAGTCGAGGGCGTATAAGATCTTCTTTCGCGGCTTATAAAACTTCTTCGGGGCTCTTATAAAGGCAAGTTCTAAATCGCTTAGCTAGTCGTCTCGTTAACGGAACGTTTACGAGGTCTTAAATATAGAGATATTCTTGGTTTTTAAGTCGGGTTCGCTACTCGACGCCGACGTAATACTTCCCCGGCGTCCTCGACCTTTCGTAAATTCGTAAACGTTAACGCTAAGAGAACGCATTAGTTCGGCTTCCTTCTTTTAGGCTTGTTTTAATTGTTCTAAGACTCGAATACGGTCTTAAGTCTGCGCTAACGTATTGGCCAGGTTAGCTAGGGGCGTTGGCGTAACTAAAGGCGTGTCCGACTTTATAGTCTCTTCGATAAGAGTACCGCTTCGTTTACTAAGCGGGGTCGAAACGTCTTCGCGTTCCTTTTGCTTCGCTTATACCTTAACACTAGTTACGCGAATAATTAAAAGAGCCATAATATTAGGTAGTGTTAAAGAAGAATAAGAATTATAACAATTATAATAAAGTCACTAAGTGATAAGCTCCTTCGGGTAATAGTTATATTTAGAGACTTATTCTTAAGGAGCCGGTAAGTAACATGTCTTTATCGCTAGTCACGAAGCGGGGGTTTTACACTGACTACGTACGGACGTACTCCGTGCGCTGCTTAAGCGCTAAGCTGGCACCTAGGCTAAGTCGTTACATTACTCGATAAGTCGTGTTTCTCGTCCCTTAAATAAAGGTATTATTAATAATTAGCTAAATATTAAGGAATGTAAGTAATAAAACTTATTTAAAAGTAAAGAATGTTAAAAGCTTATAACTTAATTATTTAAGATGCCTTTATAAAGGAGATTATATAATTAAGTTAAAAGAAGACTAATATATAGCCCTTAAATCCTTTATAAGTACTAGAGGATATAAAACTCTTCCCTTTTATTATTCCTTTAAAGTTTATTACACCATTATAACCGAAAGATTAATTAAAAGTGATTCTATTTACACTAAAAACCTCGAAAGAATATAAGGATTAAGTCTTTTACGTATTACGTTAATACCTAGGGCTATTAAAGGACGTAAGCATATTACTTAAAAAAGGCGTTAAAACCATCGACTTAATAAGTGTTAAAATAGTAATAACATACTAAGATAACTTCATCCTTAATATTAAACTTAGTAAATACAAACTAGATAAATGTTAAATAGTCGAAAAAGATCTTAACAAAGTGTTTAGTAGCTTGTTAGATATTCGATTAGCGTAAGACAAGTTAGAAAAGAGGTTACGTGAAATGCCGTACGAAGATTAGCTTCCTATTAACTCTTTCGTCATAATGACACTATTTACACGTAAAAAGGCACGTAGAAGACGATAAGATTAATTATCATAATCGAGTTATTATTAAATTGCTTTGAAAACGTTATCCGAAGTTAGAAGTATAGTTTCGGGAACCCCGGAAATAATGTTATAAAAGGGGGGGGTTTGTATAAGTGGGGTAAAATGGTTAGTGCGTTCTATACTAATACTAAGAGTTTAATATCATCTAGGTTTATCTATTAGCGGACCGAGAAATCACGTTACTTAAGTATACCATCAATTTCGAACCTCGACTTATCACTTCAATCGGATTGTCCTTTTCCAAATTATGATGCCACTAAGTAAAACTTGAGGCCATGATGCAATATTCAGAAGTCTATCTCTTAGGGTGTTTCGTAGCGCTCGGCCCGGGAAACCATGGATAGTGTCTCAAAGTTATAAAGACCGTCAGTGGTCGCTAAGGTGCTTTACATGAATAATATTACCTCAGATCTAGAGCCGTTCTAATATCCATGTATTTTCATTCGAATAAAATGAATAGCAAGAGCAATAATACATCTCAAGTTTCAGGGGTCCCCTATTCGGCTTGCATTCAGCTCATTTGATAAAGAGCAGAGGCGCATAGCTTTAAAAGACAGATCTTGCACTACTATCGCAACATTTGATGTCTTGCCAATAGGTGTCTCTTCGTTCGCAAGTTCCACAACCATAGATTGCCGCATATCATCTTCAGTTAGACGACGTCTCATGAACATTCATCGCAAATTAGATCCAGGCCCCATATCATGCGATACATGCTCATGTAAACAATGTGGCATAAATGCAACCAACATCGCTGGATCTGTTAAATTCTTGTCGCATATGGCTTGACTATTGCAGGTCGTCTGTGTTTAGAGCAGGATCAGATTGGTTTCCGGCAATCCAAGAGTGGTAACTTCTCCATCCATAATGCCATGACAATACGACTCCCCAATAAGCTTATATGGCATATTCAAAGTAGGATCACTCGAGGTAGGCCTTAGAATAAATGGTACTTTCGATCCAGCGAACACGGTTATCACATCCCCTTGCTGCATTGGCAGCGGCCCTATCCCCACAATGCCTTTCTTAGTCAAGAACGGCCGCCGAGACTGTAGTGCCTCCATACCGTTATAGTAGTTCTGTCCCGTCTGGGACAGCAATTGCCTCGACAATCTCAGCTGATTCGCTTCGTTACCATGTTCAGAAACTCCAGCCATGCGTAACTGTTCCCTGTGTTCCTCAAGCAATGGAATGATTGCCTCGATGGGCTTTCGCTCCACGAGAGTTTGCCATCCCCAACTCAAAACCTGTTCCAGCTCTTTATAACCTTCGGCGCTTTGACTGGAACTTCGCCGGCTCCTCTGTTGCGTTGCAATGTGCTCATGATCCAGTATGGGGATCTTCCAGGTCGCCTCCTTGCGCTGTTCGTTTTGATTGTATATGTCAAAGTCTGGGTGCTGCTCGTGAAGTACGTCGGACTCTTCGCAAAATGCTATGATATCAGAGCATGGTGCCAATACTCCGAACAACCTCGGAAGGTCCCTTGAAACATAACTGTCATCCCATGGAAGCCCGACTTTCATAACGGTATCAATGACCCATCCGCGTACCTGTAAAGACTTATCTGTCCATGGATCCTCGGTGGGCCAGACTATTGACTGCCTTGTATCCCCAGAGGCACGGAAGGGCTGCTCAGACGAGATGGTATTTTCTGTTAGTGTCCAGTACCTCTTCGAGGAGAAATCTGGAACCCACGAAGGGAGCTTGTCGCTCGCCTTTGGAAGCTGGTTATGCTCGAGCATGTGGATACCCTGACCCTCAATTATTTTTCTCATTGCGAAAGTATGCACCTGCTCCCATGATCTTTGATAGTCGACAGGGATTCCCAGTCGCACATTGTCCGATGCTAAGCCCATGAAGCCGTAGATATAGTCCCTTGGATCGGAGAATTTGACTTTGGAGCCAAACCGCCTGAGTAGTCGTTCTAGAAACAGCTCGTCAGGCCTATTTTTGGACTGATAGGACTCACGAGTCTTGAGAAAAGGATGTATAATCTCGTTACTATCGTCCACTACTGCAAACTTCCGACGGATTTCATTCCTTTGCTCTTTTTGGTTCAGCCTGAAGGTGAGGTCGAATTTCCTTCGGCTGTACGTGTAATGTGCTTGAAACAAGAGGAATCCTGCCTTAAAGCTTTCAATATCCAATGCCTTTTCACCATATTGGATCGTGAGGTTCTTCGGAATGGCCAGCTCTTGCTTAATCCAGCCTCGTGTGAAGTAGGGATTCCCGAAAAGTGCTAGAATGGCCGGTACAACATCCAAGTCTTGCCATTCTCCCCATCTGGCAACGACTCTTTCCATCTTCTCACGCAGGTGCGGGAAGCGCGTCTCAAAATTCTCATCTTGCAAAGGAATATCTATCTGCAGCTGCATAAGACCATCTGCGATTATAGGTAACTCATTCAGACCCGCTGAGATACCGTCAGTGCCTGCTTCTCGTAAGTAGTCCATAGCTCTTTCGGACTCTGCCGTCGCCACTCCCAGCCACGAGATTGTGCTTTTCGCCTTGGAGTAGATTTGTTCCATAAGCGGCACTTGCGTCGCTTTGTCTTTCAAGTTGCTCTGGTCGATACAGATCTGATCAATCCAGAGTAGCCTTGCATGATCTTGCTGGAGCGTCCGAAGTGCCCAGTATAAGCTCTGAGTGATTGGAAGCAACTCATCGTTCACCAATACGTTGAACTTGGCAAATGAGTCACCCCAGGTATATGAAAGTGCTGTGTAACTTGGCGGATCAGCAAGACTTGCGGCAAGCAGCTTGAGTTCGAATGACTCAGCCTTGCCAGGTAAGCGGAGAACTCGTATAGTCGACGAATTGGCTGTTGTGATTTCATAGATCGTTAGTTTGGGAGCCATGCCGCCCATATGAGACAACATGTTGTCCAGTTTCACGACTACGGTATTTTTGGGTGGATTTCAATCGACTTTGCGCTTCAGGTCCTGAGAAAGCATCTGGCGAGAGCCGTAAACCATTACACTGGTCATGGTATTAGCGAATTTGTACTGAGAGTATGCAAGGTTAGGCGCAAGTTTGGTCAGTTAATGATAGAGGTGCGTCAGTGAAGGAATACGTTTGACTCGATTGTGCGGGTCAAATACTTCGCACAAAACTATTTTTCTTGGCGCCCCGCTATTAAGGCGCGACCAGGCAATTAGGCTATTTTAGTGACACTGTTGAGTGTACCCTTACTTTCCTTCGCACTCCGAGGAAGCCAAGCGGCCCCACTACCCCGCGCAGGCTCCACCAAGTCCTCATCGTGACCATCGCCAGCGGCCCGTCACGGGTTACTAAAACCGACCACACATCATCCTCCCCCTCAAACACTAGAAGGTACTGGCATGGCCAACAGAATCATCGGATCTAAGCGACAACGGCTTGAAGAGATCACTGCCGAGGTCACCGACAGAAGACACACTGCCCACGTTGATGACTGCAGCTTTAAACCTGCCGACTGCCACAATCATGTCGCTTCGGTCCTTCATCCTGCGTACAGATGGGGATGGTTCAAGGTGACGTGGTTACACCCCCCGGATTGGATTGATAAGGCAAAGCGACTTGTTAGAGCAATCTGGGAAAATGACTTGTCAGGTGAACCTAAACCACACACTACACTACGAATCCATCCATCTGGCTTGTCGATGGATCCATTCTGTGGGACGTCAGTGTGTTCAGATCCACCCACTACACTCAACATATCAAACGTTGCTTGCAAGGTTTGGTGGTTTAGTCGGACGCCGAATCTATCAGTTCCCAATTTCACGAGAGATACAGCCTTGACTCCAAAAAAGTACAGGCCATTCAGCAGATGCTGGTGGAGTGTATGAAACAGGGCGGTATCATGCTTGTCCAGTCAGAGAATTTGCTTTCGTTCCAGTTAATGGGAATTGAGCGTTTGATGAGCAGTGATAGCACGATAGCTCCCAAGATCCTGAGAACCTGAGCGTCAAGTTCGAGCTCGTTTACACGATCGGGCAACAACGACCCGTTGAGCATTCCTCTGCGGTGGAGAATGATAGTCAATGTTCTCGAACTCGTTCGCCGCCTTGCTCCGGATATTCAATCACAGTTTCCGCACTGCATCGACGTTCATAAGTGGCGTGATACATCATGGCGCTTTTCACGACTCGAGATCTACCACGAAGATGCATTGAAGGAATTGCTGGATCGTCTAGCAGCGCAGATCTGTCAACAAGGACTAGATGGATTCCCCATTGCACGCCAACCAGAGTCGATGCGAAACGCTGTACAACAGTACATATCAGTATACAAACTGACTCCTGTTGAGATTGAAACGGTGGAACAGGGTGCGTTCTGGACTGATGCTGTGATTGGTACCCTAATCCTGCTGCGAGGCTTAATTGCCGGCGGAGTCATCGGTCACGCCCTCTGCCAGAAACGCTGGCGGGTAAACTATGGTATCGATATCAATCGAGTACCACAGACAAGACTAGCTGTTCCTTTCAGGGCGAAAGATGAGCCAGCGCCTCGGTCGGAGTTCAGTCATCCGGATGTTGTCATTGTGTTACGACTACTCAGGCTTGGGAGATACATATCTCTTTGACTTGTTGGCTCTACTGAAACAAGATGGTCAAGCCACATCCGAATACACATTGTGGGTTCAATATGCCCCAACTTTACCGCTTGCATACGCCGATTTGACTGGTGTCAACTTGCGAGATCGTGTTCAATGCAAGACAGAAATTTTCCAACATCTGAGATACTCTGAAGGTGCCATTGACTACTTCTTGTCGCGAGTAGTGTACACAAAGGAGATGAAGGAGTTCCCACACAAACTCTCAGCATCCGTCTGGGATTTGGGCAAAGTCAAATCGCACCCTACCACTGGCTTTAGCGGCACTAACGATACGCGATACGTTCTACCAGCCGCCGTCAAGCAGCTCGATCTCCCGGAACAGAGGCACACAAATACCTTGGTCTTGAGCTACTTGGTGAGACCTGAGAACAGCGTCTTTCTGATGCCGAAATGCACCCGCTCTGCAGCCGAGCCTTCCGATGGCGCCGATATATTAAAAAGGCTCACAGAGCTCGAGCCGCATATACGTGTTATCCTTGTGTCGGCGCCCAGATTATTGACCTTACGAATCAAGAGGTTGCCCAACGATGGTTGCACATGCATGAACCAGACGGCGACCGGACTCAGGCGGTGATATATTTCGACAATGACGATGTTCTGTCTGTCATGGATCGTTTCGGCTGCATTGAATTACTTCAGGTTTCTCCTTTTGCCAAGCAAACGGACAGATGCCTTGTGTTTCTTGATGAATCGCACACCCGAGGCATAGATTTGAAATTGCCGCAAGATTATCGTGCTGCAGTCACATTGGGCGTGAACCTGACCAAGGATCGACTGGTGCAAGGTAAATATCTCAGAACCAAGCGTCATTCGTTTCAACAAAAATTGCTGACATGAAATAGCCTGTAATGACTTTTGTCTCTCCGCATATCGATTTAGGTTTGGAAAAATTTCATCGTCGATTGATCAGTGTAAGCTTAGTAACGAGACTCACAATGCCGGCATATGCTATAACATGTGACGTCAACTAGCGACGCACGTGCCGTTCCAGGTCAGGGGTAGTGAAGTGTGAGATCCAAGTCAAATCTGCTGTTGTGACCCGTATCATGAGTCTCCCACAGCCTTCACCGTCATTCTTATGCATCATCGGCGAACACAAAATTGAAAAATGGGGCTAGGTCACTAAGATTTATAATTTCACAGTTGCCATGGCGAGGCCTGCAGATCTGCGTGGACGTCGCTTGTGGCCTTTGGCCTGAAAAATGATCCTAGCTAAGTTTGAATGCAAGCTCACACATAGTAACCAATATTTGCTTTGTCGTTGTTTGTACCAAGACGCCTCTAGGTGCGTGAGAAACTAGAAACGCTGTTCCCCAAGGCTGAAAATCGCTTTGACGGCACCGTTAAGTGTACGGGAACGATTGTGAGGTGGAATCTGGGTCTGAGGAACACGGCGGCTACACGCGCGCAGCCTTATGTTCGATAGTGCCGTAATCTTTACTAGATAGCGGAGTATCCAAGCGTATCCCACTTGCAATATTTGCTGAGAGCCGCTCAGAAGACAGTTTCATCTTTCCTTGACTGTGCCGCGCCGTACCGGCATGTCGGACCATACCATGTTCGTAGTAAATTGGAATTGCGCTGTGGAGGCCGAACTTGTCGCAGCGAAGGCCTTTCGACGAGCACCACCAGTAGTTGTATCCCATCCGCGTATTTTTATTTGCTGAGTATGTCTCCGGACCGACCGTGGTTTGAGGCCTCATTGTTTGATGTATGTTTTCCCAATATTCATCGTCCATCGTTCCGCTCGTGTTCGAATGTGAGGAAGTACTCAACATTGTTGGGGAAATATGTCTTCGCTAAGAAATATAGTTTGCGCATATGACTGTGGCCTTCGGATTTGGATCTGTTCGTAGTCAGGCCCACGTAAAGTGGACGAAACATTGACATTGATAGGAATGACTGTGCGCTCGTTGAGACTGAAGTAGATACACACATCATCGTTTTGCATATCTGAAAGGTCTCGAAGAAAAGCATCGCCAGTAGCTAGAATGACTTGCATGCACAAATGCGTCGAACCTCTGCAAGAAAATGATCATGGACGGTTTGGAGTCGGTCTCGGGAGTTAGGTCGATGTTGAAGCCTTCTCGAACGGTAAGAACTGACATTTTCGAGATAGCCGTGATTTTCCATGTTCGTAGCGGATGGCCCCACAAGAAATAAAGTGAGCACAAACAAGCCTATATAATTAATTCCCCGCTCGAGTCGGAGCGAAAGATTGTACCTCGCCGCTAGAGTTAACGCTAAAGCCTCGCAGTGCCTAATTACCAAAAATCCCATGTCTCCAAGGTGGCAAACCACTAGGTTAGTTAGTTTCCCCCTCTCTGCACGTCCAGGGCCACGGGGCTGCTTTCGCACCCCACGAAACCGCGACTTTGCTTCTTATCCATTCAGCACAACGTCCGTGGCCGTTGGGTTCTATGAGTTAGTACGCCAACAAGAAGATGGCCTAGACAGCGCTGCATTCGCTTGACAGCCCAGCATGTCATACACTAAGGCAGTGAGAAATGTGTCCGAGCCAGTTCGGGAGCGGGAAACCTTCAAATATGATCCAACCTTGATTGACGACGTCAAATTCAATGAGACCGGTAATCCATTGCCGGGTGAGCAGCTGTTCACAGCAGAAGACGCCGTCCTGACTTGCCTTGCACAGCTAGGTGCCTGCCGAACTAGAACCGGGCGGTCTCTGGTATCATTATTCGACCAGAGATGGCAGTACATTGTCGCAGAGGCAACACCGAGCCTGCCCTTGCTTTCTGGCGTCAACCAAGACCATCTTCAGGGCGAGAATTTGTGGTTGTCAGGGACAGCCATTCCACGGGGCCACGGAGTATGCAACCACTCTCTGGTCGATCCTGGATCGGAAGATGATCCTGATTCTGAGCTGCCACTCACGCTTTCAGCCGACCTAACGAGTGATCCACGTTTCTGCAAAAGTCCCTTTTGCGCGCCAGGTTCTCTTGCTCGCTTTTATGCTGCTGTCCCAATTCGAACGTCAGGCGGAATCAATATCGGCGTTTACTGTGTATTACATGACGAACCGAGGCCCACTTCTACCTGGACTGACACCGATACCGAGATACTCCGCAGCATATCGCGCTCCATAATGAGCCATCTAGAATACAGGTCGAAGAGAGATAGCCACCAGAAAAGCGAGCGTATGACTCGAGGCATCATTTCCTTTATGGAAGCAATCACAAGTGAATCCATCTCGCCCTCGGTTCCTAGATTTGGCTTTGCCCAAAAGCAGCCTAAAGATGAGAATTCTTCAACCCCAGTTCTGTCGACATTGCAGGGCGGCCAATGTCCTGTGGACATTGAGTTTACCACTGCTCCACCATCAGACTCTATTACACAAGGCGGTGCTGCTATACCTTCAATGGTGCAAACGTTGGATAGAGATGATGAGTCGCGGATGGGCGGGAAAAGGCCTGAGCTGCGCTCGCATGTTTCCCATGCGTCGTCTTCATCTTCGAAGCAATCTTTGCAGCAGGACTCTCAGAGCGACTCACACACAGCCACTAGACGCATCCTCACTCGCGCAGCCAATGAATTGCGAGAGGCAATCGACACAGACGGAGTGGTTTTCGTGGATGCCAGCGCTACGAGTTTCGGTGCTTTGGCCGAATCATCTCCAAGTCGCGAAAATACCAGTGCCGATGCTGCAACGAATTCGAATTGCAAGGACAGTGATGTCATCTCTCCTATCTTGGGATTCTCTACTCCAAAATCGAGAAGACGCAACGTCATATCAAATTTAGCAAAGAATGTTCAGATTCCCGCCAAAATCCTGTACACGTTGTTTCGCCGGTATCCCACAGGAGCAATCTTCACCTACGATGAGAATGGGGCATTGCAACACTGTGACTCTTCGGAAGACACCGAACATTCTCGACAGTCGCAAACGGACAGTACAATCTGTCACAGGTACACTGAGGCACAAACTTTATCGAAGTTTTTCCCAGGAGCACGTAGCGTTGTGTTTGTACCAATACGTGATGACCAGAAAGAGCGATGGTTTGCTGGAGGGTTCTCATACACTTTGACTCCAACTCATATCATGTCTAAGTCAGGTGAATTGAGCTATCTCCGAGCTTTCTCTACCCTAGTTATGGCTGCGGTTCACCGCACGCATATTACCTTCGCCCATAAGGCTAAATCAGATGTTTTGAATTCTTTATCGCACGAGTTGCGGTCTCCACTGCACGGTGTTATTGTCAGCACAGAGCTCCTTGCCGATACGTCTCTTGACGTTTTCCAAGGCAATGTTCTACACACGCTGGAGACATGTGGTCGAACTCTCCTCGATACTATCGATCATTTGCTGGATTTCTCTAACATCAGTAACTACCTTAATGCTGTGGAAGCGGAGAAGCGGAGTCGTGGCAATCTGAAAAACAAAACCACTTCAATTGAAACAGGCATGAAAAGCTTATATGGCGATATTAGCCTGGATCATCTTGTTGAGGAGGTCACTGAAAGTGTCTTTGCTGGACACTGCTTTCAACATATGTCTGTAGCGCAGCTTGCGCGCCGGGATAACCAACACGCAGATGCCCGTGCGAACAGTCAAGCAGATTTCTCGCGAGCCACAGCGGATATGGTCCTATTTCAGCACGATGATGGACTGTCGCAGTTACCACTGGCAAATGTTTCTATTTACCTTAATTTGGATGCCAATGTGTCGTCCTACAGATTCTTCTCAATGGCAGGTGCAATTAGCAGGATCGTAATGAACCTGCTCGGAAATGCTCTTAAGTATACACAGAAGGGTACAATCTGTGTCTCATTGGCAATAGATCCCGAGTCCAAGAAAACCCTACACAATGGGCAGAAAATGGTGCGACTTACAGTTGCGGACACTGGCATGGGGATGAGTCACGAATTTCTGCAGAACGAGCTTTACAAACCATTTCGTCAAGCCGATCAACTATCACCGGGTATTGGGCTGGGCCTCAGCCTGGTTAAGAAGATTGTCTCGTCACTCGCTGGGAGTATCTCTATTGAAAGTGAGCTCAATGTTGGCACTGTGGCCACAGTACTATTACCGCTCCTCCCGACTTCATTATCGGCGACGGAGGATCCCACGGAACAGTTCGAGCGAGGAGAGTTGATTAGCCACAGACAAGGACTAGAAGGTCTTCGAATTCGCCTCATTGGCTTTGATACAAGTAAGGGAATAGCGGGCAGCGTTCCGGCTGGAAAAGACTTGCCCATCAAGGAAATATGTCGAGATTGGTTACATATGGAAATCATATCCCAGTCTCAGAGCAATCGGATCCTGCCCGACCTGGTCTTGTGTTCGGATACGGCATTGGAGAAATCACATCACATCACCGCTCTGTCTACTGGTCTTCCTGTCGTCGTCGTATGCGCCAACGCTCTTGCCGCATATCGCATGTCTGCACGCAACAAAGCTGCGACCTCGACCAGTATCTGCGAATTCATCTCACAACCGTAAGCGTACGAGTGTCGAATACATGCCCTGATATGCTAACTTGGCGTAGTGTTGGCCCTCTTAAGCTCACGAGAATCTTGTCACATACATTCAGGCGCTGGGCAGATCGACAAGATTTTACGGCCTCCTTTGCGACTACGTCTCTGCGACCGGACTACGATGTCCTTTCTGAAACCCCCAGTCCACTCTGTACTGCTGCAACCACTCTCAGAAGTTCATCGGTCCAAAGTCCTGTCACAGACGGGACCAATCTTTCAGAATGGCTACCAAATACTGCGACTGCAAGCGCAACTTCTCAAACGTCCGAAACAAACCCCTCATCTTCCAAAGTTCCATCATCTCTTGCTTCTACTACATCGGTGCCTACAGATAATGATATAGGAAAGACGACTACCGCAGCTTCAGAAGAGAATTTATCAGAATTTCTCCTGGTTGACGACAATCCCATCAATCTCCGAATCCTCTGCATGTTCATGAAGAAACTTGGGCGTAATTACATTACTGCCGTAGATGGACAAGACGCAGTCGACAAATTCAAACAATATCCAGGCTCTTTCAAGTATGTTTTCATAGATATTAGCATGCCCCGCTTAAACGGCATGGAGGCGACGCGACAAATTCGCGCATTTGAGCGCGACCAGCATCTAGACTCCGCGGCAGTTTTCGCTTTGTCTGGCTTGGCTTCGGCCGACGTGCAGCAAGAGGCGTTTAGTAGCGGGATTGACTTGTTCTTAACAAAGCCAGTCAAATTGAAGGAGCTTAGTCTCATCCTAACGAACATGGGCGAATCAATACCAACGGGCCAAACAAAGCAATGAACTGACCGGAACTTGCCAGTATCATTTACTTTTGCGAAGCCATGCCGATATATAACCTAGCCCACCGCCCGCCCGCAGGGAGGAAACCAGCAAGGTCGGCAGGACTGCAACTAAAAGTGTTTTAGGGGACCAGATCAAGAATGGTCGGTTGGACAATCTTCGTCCTAATACCGGCGTCCTTCGGTGAGCTAGCCTAGATGGTCACAGTCCAGGCTCGACGTCGAAACTACAACTAGCCCACATTGCCCACCCACGCCTCCGCCGACTCTGCAGAATGGAGTTGCCGATGACCAGAGCATGCCCGGTAGTGACTTAGGTCGTGGCGGCGATAGTGGCCGCAGAGGCTCGCCATAACGCAAACGGAAGTTAAGACCGAGGGAGGCAGCGCTTCATAAAAGCCGCCATGTCTCCTAGTTGCAGCTCCGTTTCAGATGACGAGGGAGTGGTGAAAGACCGGCGGCAAGACGACGAAGATTTTCAGCCGCCACAACGCAAACGTCGCCGACAGCATCCGGTCCCCGGAGCGTCCACCAGGCGGCGATATTGCTTGGACGGCACTGCATCTAGGGAAAACTTACTCGATATCCCAAGCCCGCCGTCCTCGGAAAATGACACAGAGAGAAAGAGTACTGCACGCATACTTAACGCGGCGTTCCAGGAGTGGCCTCTCGTTGATGCTGTTCTTAAAAGAATTATGGAGGATGGCCGAACAACTTTTCAATTACAATTCACCTGGGGCACCTGCACAACTCATGAACGACAGGACCGTGGAATTGGAAGCCCAGAGCACCAGTCATCTGTCAACACGGCTCCTTTTGCGAAGCGAGGAACAAGAAGGCACGCCCAGTTCGAAACAGGTCATGCTACACAAGATGACGAGGAACAGTGCCATATCGAAGCAATTCGAGACCACAGATTCACCGAGCCTAACAATGGGGGTCTCCAGCTGTATGTCGGATGGAAAAACTCCCAAAAGAGGACTTGGGAACCAGTGGAAGAATTCAAAGAGACGATAGCATACGGCGTATATCTGGCCCACAACGACATCTCCAAACCCTCCAACAGGCCTAAACGTGGTCGTCCGCCGAAAGTCCATAAAAGATGATGCTGTTCGCGTGGTTTGATCCATGATTATGTCGGTCAAGGGGCAATTCTTTAGACTCCGGAATAACGTGGAATCCAGATTTCGCAGCTACGGCAGTACGAGTTTCATCGGGCTACGGGTGCACGGAGCACACATTAGAAGCAGAATGGAGGCGGATTATACATGTCGCCTCCCTCACGAAGGACGGAGGTGGAACAGCATCAGACGGGCCAGGACACTACCAGGTCCCACTGCCAGTGTCCCTTCAAGGCAGCATGCACTGAACACTACCGGCTACCTCTAGTACCCATCTGTTTCATCCATTCTAGATATATATAACTGAAGAATTCCAATTACCAAGCAAGCAGCTCAAGTTTCCAGAATTTTCTCCCCTGCCTTTAGGCTGCCGAGTTCCGTTTCGAGCATATTCCTTCTACTAACAGTCTTATCCTCATCGCCAGCGATCAGCTGGAGCTCCGCGTCCGACATCTTGCCGATGAAATGGGGGGAGAAACCCCATAGAGGGCTGGTTTTGCCACTAACGAGAAAGTGATCAACCGCTTGCAAACAAATGGCATCGACGAACCTCTTCCGAGCAACCTTGTAGTACGACTTTAGCGTGTCGTGCAAGTCTTGGATCGTGTGATCATCGTTGCTCAATACTACTCCCAAAATGTCATTTAAACGTAAGAGCGGTTCGGCGCGTCCATCACCTGTATTCCATGTCGCGAGCATTTCGAGTTTGACTTTAAGACGTGCTTCTCGTGCCTTTCGCACGTTCTCGGCGAAATAGTGGTTTATCGTGATCAGATTCCCATGGCACTCGACCTCGACCAAGGAGGCTTGCTATAGAGCCTTTTCGTATGATGTGAGAAGAGGCGGTAACAGCTTTTCCTACACTCGTTCGCAAAGGACGTCGTTATCACAACAGTACTAAAGGACCTTATGGTTGAAGTGATAGATTTTGTGTATCACTATCGTTATAAGGTTCTGTGCGTGGAAGCCCCATGCTCGTGACTGCCCGGCGAACAATGAAGGCATGAGAGATGGGTTTGTCGTGCCGATCTCGAATCCTTTGGACCGGGTGTATTTGTCGGTCACCATTCCACTATCCCGTCCTCGGCTGACTTTGGCGTTGTTTCTGTTTGGGCCATGATTGATTATAGCTCCGGATACTCTGGCAAGTTAGTCTCAGGAGTAGAGGGTCCTATAAAGGAGTGCACAATATCACGATTAGGCGACTAAGAAGGACTTCTTGTGCTCCGAGAAGTGTTGGCGACTGCGGTCTGGGTCCTAGCAAAAGCCCGAGTAAGTCCTTTCTTGTAGACTGTCTCGGAGAATTGCTCGTTCAACTCTATAACGAGTGTAGCCAGTCTAAAGATATCGTCATTTTCGAAGCATTCGTCTCGACTGTAATATGCATTAATAGTCTTTATCATCAGCTTACGGAACCTCAAAGCCACGTTAATAAGGTGGTTTCGCTGCTCGTACGCTGTCTGCCTTACCGGCCCGATAATCTCTAGTTGTTGCTCGATCTTTCGTATCCTTCCTCGAATATCCACGGAGACGCCTTGGAAATTCCGTCGGGTGACGTTAATCAACAAGTTGTCTAGCCTGTGTTTCAAGGCTTTAATGCCCACCCTCTGCTTTAGAATAGAGCCCTAAGGGGTTAAGGTTGAAAAAAGCAACCTCTTTTATATTACGCTCGTCGAATGTGATGCTAAGATCGCTCTGGCTCCTGTTACAAACGATGGTATATCCAAATTTAAATCGACCTTTTCCCTTCGTGTTGGTAATAAGCTCCATAACCTGGAGCCCTATCAGTAAACCATATTGTTTGTTCGGGAATTTATCTTACCTTGTCTTTAGCTCCTTTGTCTACCAGGTTAGGCTTGGTCAATACGCCAAGTGTACGTTGACTAAGCGGATCGGCATCCTCCGCCATTTGAATAATTTCTTGGGTGGCGATGTCGACATTTGCGGGAACCACGGCTCTGATACCTGTAAGCGACGTCCTGTTGAAGTGAAAGTCATTGCATACTCACAATATAATGCTTCGTGGGTTGCTCAAGTATTTCCCGACCATTTGCCTGACCAAGTCCATATCCACCTTCGTTGTTTGGCCTGCCGTGGGCTCTGATAGGCATCAGCAAATCTAAATTCCTACAAGCCTCGCAAGAAAAAAGTACTTCGAAATAGACCAGGGAGGTCAACAACACTGAAATGTTCATGTTAAGGTCCGGAAAGTTCAATCTTCAGAATGTTATGAGAGAAGGACTCCATATCAACTTCACGGGTGCGCCCAGGCAATGGGAGGCCCATACATTCCGATGCCTGTATACGAGAATCGTAGTAATACATTGAGCGGCCGAGTAGATAATGTTAGCGTCAACTCAACGCCGAATAAGTGGCGACAGATCGTAGCGAGGTTCTCATAGCAGCCAATGGGACCCTCCGTCTTATTAGGCACCATTCAGCAGGTCGCGCTTCACGCTTCAGCCACCGGAGATAAGACCCTAAACGCTTGGATCTACGGCTCTGGGAGGCGTGGTTTGCCCTAATGAGGAATGGCCCCCACGTTTAATAACAAACAAATGATGGGACACAATGTCAGTCGGAGTCATGGAATGATCGCTCCCGAAGTGTATAACTCAGCAGAGTACCGTTTTGTGAGAGTACTTCTAAGGTATGGCGAGTACGAGATTGGTGGTATGGCACGTCTAAATTTCTGATAGAATTATGTGAGAAGCGGTAAGTTAAAGCCACACTGCCCCACGTGCAGACAAAAGATCAATCGTCCATTGTCATTTTACCTTACGACACTTTCGCAGTGGATCCAAACCACTGTGATGAAATTGCGTCAGGGCAGGCCATAGCTCAGCTGAGAGAGCTACTGACAGCTCAATCTCCACATTTGGCTGAGCTAGCGTTTTTTGGTAATAGCGGATTTGTGTTAGCAACACTAGTGACCGATAGCTTCGATCATGGCGACTCATGATTGCAAATTCTCGAAATAGATTCAGTGGCCTTGTAAGCGAGTCAGAATCCCGCTACGGTCGCCCTCCTCAAATTTGACGTACTCCTGGCAAAAGACTTGTCAAGACTACTCATACATTATTGAGCGACAGGCGTGCGCCCAGCGGCTAGGCGGCTTAGCTGGCCTAACCTTGCTGCATTACACTAACCATTAAAACCGCCAGCAAGCGGCACACACGAGATCACCGGGATCGCAGATGGCGCCCGCAAGGAAGGGGGAGGACAGCCCATCTTCTCATCATATGCCATCTTATGCTATAAGGATTACTAGATCATTCTACCAAGTATGATATATTATTCTATGTTATCCCATGCGCTTTCCATTTTAACATGAGCTTCTCATATTACTTTGCACAACGCGTTTTAAGGTTTTGCAGTGGATAGCCTTTTTTAAACACATTACGGAGCAAGTGTGCCAACTTCTGCGTCTAGCACTTGGCCCGATGGTCCAAGTGGTCTATGTTTGTCCAGCTTCTATAATACAGTGGCTTAACAAGTCTTTTCAAGATTTGAAATTGCTGCTTGGCTCGGTAGGGCTGAGTCTGCCACTGACACTACCTGTATCCGAATAGCCTATCAGAGGCAGGCATAAGCACAGCTGAGCAGATAGCTTGAAGCGGCCTCAATGTCCATTGCGCCTTCATGACTCTTGCGAACAACAATCAAGTCTTGGGGTCTCCATTATGTAAACAGTAGCTTCTTGGCCTTTACTAGATATCCATGGGTTGCCGCAACTCGATTGATGGTATCAAGGCTATGGGACTGGTAAACTAGCTTTTTGTATGACCTGCAATATTTGCTTGATTTCAGAAATAGCTCAGCATCTTACATTCCTATAAACTGCAAGAGATGGAAGAGCCGTTTCTCAAGTGATTTGCCGACAGCCCGTTGCAAGCGAGCACCAATGCATACTGAGACGACACATCACCAACACAGCGACTCAATGGCTTGTAGCTATGCAACAATTCATTATCCAGCAGCTCCTAGAGAATACCGCAGGGCTAGCACATATGATATAACAGATCAGCGCCATGGTACCATGGAAAAATGGCAGAGCGCGTCACCAATAAACGGCGGCGACAAGTATGATGCTTTGAGCAAACAGGAGGCGAAGTACGGCCAGACACAGGTTACCACCCATACTCCTGCCCACGAGAATATGCCAGGAGAGCACTGCCAAACATATCAACCTGACCCGCCAATATACCACCAAGTCCAACAACCTCAACTAGATGACCAATATCGGAAAAGACCCAATTATAAGCCATCTGCTCTACGATGGCCTTTTCTTACACTTCTGCTCCTCGCTTTGGTTATTATGATAGGTCTGCTAGCATATGGCCTCCGCATGCTTCCGGTCGAGGAATACATCGATCCTGCTGTCCCATTTGAGCGGCAGGTGGGTGTTCTGCGGCGAAGCGAAGAAACGTCAACCACTATAGGGCCCACGTCAGCTAGCTCGTCTACTTCTTCCACTTCATTAGAGGAAATTGTGACTGCGACTCGACCATCTGAAGACTTTGGTAATATTGGAACAGTTACTCTCACGTTAAGCTCAACAGTCCCGCCGGGCGCACCATCTCCCGCAGATTATGGGAATGTTGACAAAAGCATCACGTTCACAGAACCCGCGTTCACTGCAGCGCCTGACGATCACGGCAATGTTAGGACCGTCGTCATCACAGAGTCTAATACCACACCCCAAACCCCGACATATGTGCCAGCTGCTGTTTCGACTTTGACTAACTCCCTTGGCGTTGCGACTCAGATATCAACGAGCATACCGTCTGCAATTTCAATACCTATGACTACAATCCTGACCAACTCCTTAGGTCAACCAACAGTCACAGCTGTTACCAGCGTCCTTGTAACACCTATCTTCTCCACATTGACGGATGCTGACGGCGTTACTACCGCCACCATAACGAGCTATCCAGTCTTCCCTTCAGACACGGTGCGCACACAAGTTTTTTACATTAGCTATGCTGAATACTTTGTTGGCTTCTTCTTGCCGACGGTGTGCTCCATCCTTATCGCCATCCCGATTCGCGTCCTCGATCTCAACGCAAAGCTTTTCCAGCCGTGGCACGAACTCACTCATGCGCATGGGGCAACAGGTCGCGAATCACTATGTCTCGAGACCAGCGGGTGGCAGTCCGTTGTTACCAGTGTCCGCTCCCTTTTCGGTGGCCAAGCGCTCGTATTTCTTACCACAAGCTTGGTCATGTGCTCCTCACTTGTCGTTCCGCTTTCGGCTGAGGCGGTTGCTCTGAAGTTGCGAGGCGATTGTCGACCAGGCTCCATGTCTGCCAAAAATTGCGCTTATGAGCTAAGTGTTTTTGCACAGCCGGCGAAAGCGACTATGGGTCTGCTAAGTTTCATGGCCTTGACTGTCATCATGCTCATCTTCTTCCTCGGTAAGTGGCAAAGTGGAGTGAGCACGAATCCATGGAGCATCTGGGGTATTGCAGGGTTGAGCCAGAACAAGGACGTGAGATCGCTGTTCACATCAGCATTACCGGATCGCATCGATGTCGGACATATACCAGAACGACTTCTGAAAGATCTGTTCGATCAGAGAAAGTTTAAGCTCGGATGGTTCAGGGACGAGAAGTTTGGCTTGCAGTATGGTATCATGTTGCACGATCAGTATCCTGCGGGTCATCCGTTACATACCCGTATCCGTGAGATGCAAGCGGCCGAGAAGCCGAGGAACCACGGCCACGTGAATACTCGTCAGCATCAACCTTTCTGGATGCTAGGATATTTCGGCAGATCACTGTTTCTACTGGTGTTGCTGGGAATCCTGGCACTGATCCTGTACTACAACAACACTGGAGGCGATACTCCGTTTGAAAGGTTCATGAACAGCGAGTCTTTCGGCGTGAAGTTCCTATTTACAGCTGTCGGCGTCATCATCACTTTCTTTTGGTCTTCCTTCTTTAGTAGTGAGTCGGACGATCTGACTTTTCGACGTTCGCATCTTGCTGACAATCACTCCAGGTATCGCGACCATGTCTCCTTACCACCTCCTCGCTACTCGCCCACAATTAGCGCGACATTCAATCCTCTTATCGTCGCCAACCAACGCTTTCAGCGGCATCATATCTGGGTTCCGGCGGCGTCATGCATTTCTTGCTCTGGTGGGCCTAACAGCGGTGCTCTCTGAATTCCTCACACTGTTTCTTTCTAACATACCCTTCCGCGTGACGCAGACCTACCTCGTGGCACGGATTTGTACCTGGAGTGCGGTAGGAATTCTGGCCATTATGCTTCTAGTGGTGGGTGGAAGCTTCTTCTGCAAATGGCCGCATATGCCTGTAGACCCAAGCACCATTGCCGGTTCGATGTACTATGTGTGTGATAGTTGGATGATGACTTGTCTTGAGAACATCAGTGCGTCGGATAAGAAGGAGCGCGACTGGAGGGTCGCTCTGATGGGAGAGCGTTATGAGTTTGGGGAAATAACGGGGCAAAATGGCACGGTGAGGATTGGTGTCGATAATGTTGCCCCAAGATGCTAGAGCGAGCAGCATTCAGAGGTACGCCTGGGATTCACTTCAAGACAAGACAGATTGTGTCGGAACAGTTTGGTTGCTGTGCTGACACAGTCAATTTGGGGAAACTATTTTTTACCCGTTGGAAGACATTGCCGGTCAGCTGCGAGGTTGGTGATACGAGGGCCGATCTCGTTGTTGGTAGGGATTTTGACGCCTCGATCTCAGCATCGAGATCGGGTATAGTGCATCCGCGCTGTCTGCCGTACTTGATCGGCTTATGAGCCATGGTATCGGATGGCAAAGTCGGGAAAAGACTGGCTATGAGAGTATCTAAGGCGCGGTATCTTCAATCCAGCTGTTCGATGCTCTCATAAATCTTCTGCTTCCGTGGCAGTATTATTATGCATTCAATTTTAGTGTGGATTTAATTTTTGCAAGGACTCAATATCGTAATAATGATGATGATGATGATGATGATGGTGGTGGTGGTAGGGCTATTGATCGCGATAATGCAGAATGTACCAACGGAGGAAGCTCAGGCACGTCCTGTCAAGAAGCAGCCAGCAGCAGCAGAGAAAGCAACGAGATATCCACCGAGAGCAATCCCATTGGGGAAAGCGGCTTCGAGAGGAGCATGGCATCAACCCTTGACACTCGTCTCGGGATACAGAAACCTGTCAGCGCGGTCCCAGATAATGTTCGTCGAAAAAGATTTGCAGTTGGCATAGCGGCGTACCGCAGCATAAAAGCGAGGTCGGACTCAGTGTCTTCCTATTCATTGGTTTGTTGGCAAGATTTGATAGCGTTTCAATAGCGTTGGATCTTGTAATGGTCAATCTGCATGGAAACATAGGCTTCAATAGGAACGTACTGCTTCTCATTGTTGTTGAGTCTGAAAGCTGGCACAAAATACGCGCTCGGAAACGATGTCGATCAAGTTCTAAAAATCAGTCTTATTAAGCGAAACGGACGAAACGAACAAAATGAACCAAGCAAATAAAGGCAAATGCAGTCACAATAACCTCTTACTGCTCAGCATTTCTGAAGGAGCACAAATCTCACGACCGTGGGGTTGGTCAGCTACATGCGGTACGATTGAAGGAATCACGCCGCGACAAATTAGTCTTCGAAAGGGAGGAGAGAAAGTTTAAAGAAACTCATAACCAATCAGGCTAAAAGGTTTAATGTACTATAAGAGGGCGTAAATATAATCTATGCTCTGCTGCTAGCATAGTTGCTCGACCAAGTCTTTGCCAAGATTTTTATAGTACTCTAGGATAATAAAAGTCACATTAAAGGAAAATGGTCTTTAGATAATCTTATCTAAAAAGTTTAAAGTTAAGCGATATAAAGAAAAATGATAAGAAGATACCCTAGAAGAAATCTAAAGTTTAAATGTAAAATATAATATAAAAGAACTATGGAAAAAGTATAGATAGGATTTTATAAACTATAAGTTCTTATTACTACGTTAGTCTAAACTTTGCCCGTATAAAAAGAATAAACTAATAAAGCAAAAGGAGAGAGACTAAGGTGTGACGATTATACTATCGGGTTGTACAACCACAAATAATATAATGCAAGGGGGTTTATGCTAACAAGATATGCTAGCCACGAATAGAAGACTATAGAGATAGACCTTCAGGATATACTGAGCAAAGAGATTCACAAGTGTAGTCGTCAAAGCGTGAGCTTCACCTATGGGTAAGATAGATGCTGAACCAGGACCACTGTCTTGTTCCTTAGGTTATAAGCCTCGCGACGAACTCGCTGGTTCACTCGCGGACCCATCACTAATAAATGAATGGAAAGAATGAACTTGATGACCAAAATAACATTAATTAGTGACGACGAGCCATTCTCGTCGTCTTCCGAATGCACTGCTGCAAAAACTAACCATGCCACCGAAGTCAGAAGTGTGAAGGAGCATGCCCGTTCGACTATTTACGAGTTCCATCCATTCGACCTTCTACCAAAGCAATAAGGTTTCAACGGACTGGCGAGGTGGTGAATCTGCAACTACAAAATTGTGCCATCATATGGATGAAAAGATTGCCGTTGGTGTTTTACTCTGGTTGGTTAAGATCTCTACTCCTCTTTCGAGCTAGCGGTACCCATCCCCGGGGTCCATTTTCAGAGAGCCCATGTCCCATCGAAACTATCGTGCATCTTGTCTTGATATATCTACGCTGTCGAAACAATCCATAGCGGCTTGTCTTGGGGATAATTGTCATAGCTGGACCAGACTGGTTTTGTTGATGTGGCCGTTTTTAATGAAACTTGCCCGTAACGATGTCCCTAGCAAGAATAAGAGCACTCAAGCCGTCCAAACCCCCCAGCCTTACCGAGTGCGACAGTATCCGGCAGGTGAAGCCTCAGTGGCAGAGCTGGTTTGCCCCTTAGACGAGTAGAGGCCGGCAAAGCGATCGGCGTTGATGAGCCGGACACGGCCTGGGATATAACCGCCGTGAGTCCCGGCTGCCGACTGTGGGAAAGCTTGCTATCTGCTTGACATTTCGAACCGTTTTCTACGCTGCTGTCTACAGTTTCCAGGCTGCAAGACGAGCGTTATTACTGACAGTTCCCGAGGGACCGCCTGCAATACTCCACGAAGCCATCTGAACCAAACCTCTGATATTGCACGTCACCCTAAAGAGAATGACAATTATTGGGACACAGCAGCGATCAAGAATATGTAGATGAGGAAACTCGGGGAAGACCTGCCAAAAGAAGACGTATCATGTCTCATAAGCCTTGGAGTCCTCGACAGGAGGAGACTCTAAGAGCAGGTATGGAACAAGAGCAGAGTTGGGAAGGTATAGCCAGAAGGCTGGGTCGAACGCCGACAGGGGTGAGGCAGCACTGGTGGATGATGGAGCGCAGGTTCAGTCCGAGGAAACATCGGCTGAGGTTTTGAGTCCAGCCTGCATTCACCTACTAACATTAGAAGATACAAGCGTTGCGCCGGTAACTACCACATATTTCAAGCTCGTGGATTGGCCCATATCCTGGTAACAGAGCTCCTACACTTAATTTGGAGCAAGAGATGGCATTTGCGGTGTTGCAGGATACGGCTCGTAAGTACCAGCTGAAGCTCGAGCACCAACCTGGTGACCTTATTTATCTCAACAACTGGACGTCAGTAAGCGATTGTGTTTTACCCGTACCTTATACATAGTTCTTGTCAAACACGAGCAAAAAGAAAGGCTAATGTGTTTATATCATTAGGCTACTGCATGCGAGGGAAGCGTACCGGGATGGTCAGACGTCTTCACGGCACCTAGTCAGACTCTGGCTCCGCAACTCGGTGCTGGAATGGCAGGTCCCAGAATCGGTGTCGTTTCCATGGGATTGTGCCTTTGGCGAACGCTCTAAGCTCGTGCCTAATCTGAGCTACCCCTTGGTACCATTGCCTGTGTATATGTACAGCAAGTACAATTCAGGAACGGCAGCCTTCGTGCCTACAGATGATGAGGATGAGGATGATGTCAATGCGACCACCAGGGGTATTCACGATAGAGATCATGTAGACCAGGGAGACACGATTCCAGTGATTAATTGATTGATTGGTTGTATTTAACGTAGGGACCGTCCCTTATTAGGGCAAACCACGCCTCGCAGAGCCATACATCGCAGGGTTCTGGAGGTATTAGTACATATATATATTGATGCTGCGCACGTGCCAATCCACGCTGTTGCAGGTCCTGAGTTAGAGTACTCAGTCTGTCAGTTCAAACAAGAACAAACAGTGATTCCTCCGGTTTCCGCTGGACATATCTTTCCTGCAAGCAACGTAGATCAAGTGCGGGGATATTGCAACCAATATGTAGCTGGTTCTGCTTCCGTACAATCATGAATCAGTCCGTAACATTATCAATTCGAAGACTGACATTATGGTCATGAAAGACCATGATCATGAGAAGAGGAGTCGTCCCGAAGTAACTAGTATAGCCCTGATCAATCTTCTCAAGTTCCATGCCTGCTTGGAGTAGTTTATCGCTTTGCTCAGCAGGTCTACTTTCAAACTTCCATTGAAACCTATTAACGTATGAGCAAATAAAGGCTTCTTCAAAGTACTCACCTCTGTATGCTCTGGAAATTCGACTTCAAAGATGTCTCGGAGCTCGATCTCGTCAGAGAACTATATATAACCAGTTCCAGGTATCGATAAGGGGCGTGTGCGAGTTAGGGACGAAAGTCGGTTCAGTCATCGTTTCCAGACAGCACCCAGTATTGTGATCCTTGCGATGATGGAAGATCTATGGCAATGCACGAAAAATGAAGCCATTTTTTGAAGTAGCTGTTGAGAGCCAGGTGTTTGGGCGTTGAGTCAGAGTTTAGAGCGGTTCAAGAGAGATATGAATAAAAGAAGAGAGGATCGCGATTGTACAGAGAACGGAAGCAATGGAAGTAACTGGACGTAGATACCCTCTCTTTTATACCTATGAGCTTCACTCAGGACAAAATAGCACCTTTACACGACACAGCTCAGCTGTGTCATAGGTGCTGCGAAGTCCGCGTACTGCTCTACCCGGCATAACCTCGCAGGATCCTCCAAGCTCTTCAACATCCCAAGCAAAGCTCTACGGAACTAAGGATCCCGGTAAAGAAAATATAAGCTCAACAAAAAAATGTTCATGTGATCAGTAGTCACAGAAATTGGTAATGGGCCATTGAGTGCCAATTCGCAATCTGCCGATGAACACCCCCGACTCCACGATCCGCAATTGATGGTCACACCCCTGTAAGGACAAATTAGGTGGGTCGGGTGATTTCTTATCCTTTTTGGAACAGCCCTGGGAGGCAAGGGGTGGGGGTGAGTGGGGATGGATCTGAATCGGGCGACATAACACTAATTATTACGACTAAGTATCCTTGTCGTAGAGTGGGCTTGCGGTGGCCCAAATTTGTCTCCATTCAACACCAATGATGCTCGAAGGAAGCCCTCGTCGCAAGCTATAGCGCGTCAAGGCCAAACCATACATACCCTTAATTTGCAGCCGATTGAGCGCAGACAACAGCTCGTGGAATAGGAAACAACCAAGGCCATACTAGACCCTGTATTTTTTCTTTCATTGATGACCTCTCTTCCACTGTATGCCATGTTGACAAAAATAGAGTTTGTGTGGATGTCTTCCTTATTCGTCTCCTACATTAGCCTCAAATAGTGTCGGAATGGCGTCGCGCTGCGTGCATATTGATGGTCAATGTTTCGTGTAGGGCCTCATTGTTCTAGCAGCAATGCCTTCTTACAGGTCCCAAGAATTAGAATCTCCAGCGCAGGGTTTAGCGTGAGAATAGGGCTACGATTCTCTGATTCCAGCCATCAGCGAAGGCAAATCACTATGATGATTGTCGGGAGATCATGCCAATCAGGACATTGCCTTACGCTGCGATCTTCGTAATTTCTTTTACATGTTCACATACACTATTCTGATTGATTGGTGCGTTATGGAAGGAAGACTTGAGCAGAGTGCTTCATGTGCTCCGCAATCAATGCACTAAGCCCGTAGGCTCAGTACATTGATTACGAACACTGCCACGGTGCAGCTTGAGTAACATTATGATTCTAACTTACAAAAAAGAACAATTTCAAACTTTAGTTTCTATAGGATTCAATGCTCAATGGACTTGAAACCATTATCGCGGCCGAAAACGGGTATTTTGGAAAGGTAAGTAAAGCGGTCAAACTCTATTAAGAATTGGCTGCAGCTAGTAGCACTGATCCGGATGCTGCTGCGTCAGGACGAATAGCTAGCCGTGGTTATGCAGGACCTGAGGTGCAGCTGGTTAAAGTCTTTACCATTTAGGAATTTATCTTGTGACACGTTCAGACGCTGCATTTAACAAAGTGACATGCCTCCCGTCAGGCCGCCCTACCAGTTGCTGCTTTATTATTCGATAAGATGGTTAATTCAGACGTTGTGGTTCAGCATAAACCCGTTCCAAAACCCAAATGGGTCATTGTGACCACCTCGGTCGACATCGTAGGTGTCTTTACCCTTGTTTGCACAGTAGAACTTGTTACCCTAAGTAATTTGCATTAAGAGGATAGAGACGAAGGCAGAACAAGTTCCTCTTGGAAATACGTCAGTCGTAACTTCGACTGCCCGTAAACAACAGAGCAGTTCGATGCTGCCCCTGTGTGTGCCACCATTCTCTGAAGCCATCGGACGTAATCTATTAACTTTTGCTTTAGACTTTATTCCGCCCGACCCGGGGCCCTGTTCCCTCCGACTTCGTTACTATGGCGACCTCGAGACCCAGAATCCGTGATTGGTTTCAGCCTTGCACCATTTAGATTAAAGGCACGGGCTCAGGTTTTATTATTTGCGGTAATAGGTTTGCTTATATCGTTTGCTTATATGGTGCACGGTCTGTGATCTCTCGACCCTCGGCCGTAGAGTTCCTAACACATCGCGACATAAGCAACCTGTTTCGTATTTCTTGTACCAGAGTTGCCGCCTCATCACAAATACTCAACTCCGGCTCAACCCGTCAATCTGTCGCTATTATAATCCGCAGTTTCCCTAATCGCCAACTATAAATCTAAACTCTTTGTCTGCAGAGAACTGCGTTAGAGCTGATATCTCTTTTTTGATGGAGGTTCTAGGAAAAAGCTTTATAACGATCTGCTTTTACTCCGGTGCTTTTGTTTTAAGCCACTTCGCCATGGTTAGCAAACTAGCATCATAATCCATTACAATAGCAACTACTCGCCGTAGACTACTAAATGGCTCCTAGTCGAGAAAAATATAAAGTGGAGATCACTTAAGCGACCGAGACATTAGGTGTATTAACACCATCCATGCTTTAAAAAATCACGTGTACTCTGCCTAATAAGGTTAATGTTAAGACACTGAAATTCCGTCGAAGAATGAAAGAGTAACATTTTCCATTCTTGTAAAGCACGCGCTCGTAAAGAAGAAGAAAAAAAGGTCATATTCCAAGGTATATAGTAATCTTAATACAGATTTATAGAACTCAAAAAGTTGGAAGAAGTAAACACAGATCTTGGCTTTACGTACGATGTTATGACCTCTGCTTACAATGTTATGGTACTACAAGACTGCATCCGAACACAAGCATTCTCGATTAAGGGAAGAAAGAAACTTAAAGGCTGCGTAGAGACTGTCCGGAATTGCTGGACGATCTCTGGCCTCAATCTTCGCTTTCTCCAGAGTGGCAAGTAAAAACTCATAGGCGATGGCCACTTGCCACATAATGCCGTATTGAGCTTCGACTTCCCCTTTGCGAATTCTAGCTTAGCCGTCCCCCTCAAGTCGTAGGAGGCATGAGTCGAACATTGCAAGGATGTCTTAGAGCCAAGTGAGGGCGTCCCAATCCGCTTCAGTCAGAAGAGAGTCGCCCTCAAGGCATGGAGGGAGGACGTGCTGTGGCTATGTTGCTTGACGGATCCTTCCATTGCAACCTTTGTCCTAGCTCCGCCACTGCGCGATCATTATTTGAGGCATTATCCAGGACCAATATTCCGACTTTTTCATGCAATATCAACTTGAAACTTTCTAATATCTCCATAATGGCTGCAGCAATATTCTCTCCGGTATGGCCCATAGTGGTACTAGGGAGAACTAGTACAAGTTTCCGAGGCTGAAAGGTATCTTCGTCGAGGAAGAAAGCGTTCACGGAGAAAAATGAGTACCTGTTTCGGGAAGTCCAGCCATCGAATGCGATATGAACTTTGCTAGGACTATTTATCAGTGCATCAACGACTTGCGCTTTGTAATGGTGAAATTCGGCGACGATCCTGGTCCGGATAGTCTTATGTATAAGATGAGCTGAAGTCTCCCGGATCAGAGGGTTTAGATAGCACAGAAGAGCGCGAAGTCCCTCGTGCACAGACACGCGGAAGGAGAGGTTTGCGTCTGTGATCCACTGCACGAGTAGTCGTTGGAATATATGTCTGTCAAGCCGAACAGCCAGCTCATCATGGAAGTCCTCCCTTTTAGTTCCCATGAAGTCGTGAAGACTTGACTGACTGGGAGATCTTTCACGCACATGTCGTTTGGCTTTGGACGGATCCGGATAGAAGACGTTATGTGCTTTGCTTAGGTGGCCTTCAATATTTCGAGTATTGGATGACACATACGTCTTTGGCTTGTGCGCTCTCTGCAAGATGCAATGGCAGCATAGCCAATTGGACGGTCCAGGCTTCTCAGGAGTATCTCTAGCTTGTACATCGTAACCATGGGCCCAGAACCAGCCAGTAGCGGACCCTTTTCTGGTCGAAAGGATCCAACGAGCACGGATAGATGGAGGTGCAGAATCCCAATCTTTTAGTATTACTGGGCTGGTGGGGGCTAGAACAGGCTGGGTTTGGTGGTACTGCATAGCTGGAGTTCCTTGGCAATTGGGTATGATCGGTTGCTGAACTTGATGAATCGGTTAGGGGGACATTATACCTCTATACAATCGCGCCTAAAATGAAGTTTGGAGAGGGAGTGGAATGCACCGAGCGGATATATTGCAATGAAAAACCCGAAGGAAAATTCTGTAGTCGAAAAAAGCAATTAGTCCCACGAAAAGAAAATTCGTGAGGGA